GTTGTCCAAAAGTCTTGGCCTCACTGTGCGTGCAGATGCTCTCACACCAACCTGCTGCCATTCCTGAGCAAGCTCTGCACTGGTGGTGACACGATTCTGTAGCTGACTCCTCAGAAGGAGATGGTCCTGGCGCTTGCTGGACACTCTGGGACATCCTGACGACTTCTTCACTGCAGTCGAACCTCTCTCCTTGAAGTTCTTGATCCGGTTATTGGTTCTTTCAGGTGCAATATTCTTTGGAGCAATTTCCTTGCATGTGAGGCAAATTTTGATGCAAAGCGATGATGGCTGCATGCGTTTCTTTGGAGGTAACCATTGCTAACAAGAACACAATGATTGGAAGTGCTTCTTCCCTCCTTTTATAGCAATCGGGCTGCTCTTACAATCTAATTAGTATGATAGTGATTTCACCTGACTAGTACTCATTCACACTTTCACATGTGCTGCTGATATGATTAGTCAATTAATGTTAGCTGGTCGTTTTGTGTCAGGATCAAAAAACAGTGAAATTTTTTTTTTGTGTGTGTGAAAAGTGCATTTTTTGGCCAATGAAGCTTTTAGCAATGATTTAAAATGCATCTGATCACTCTATACTATGATCTAGAAAAAATGTGAATGAACACCACAACAGCTTAAGCAGCAAACTTTGCAAAACACAATTTATGTCACTGCCAAAACTTTTGGCCATGACTGTATATTTGTTTACAAACAATGATTCCTCAATGAAACACCACTAATTATTATATCTTTATAATTATACTTACTATAGACTATTAATGACTTACAATTTACTGTAGTAATTAATACAGAGACACTCATTTGGGCAAATAGCACTAATTACTTGTTTAGGACTTGAAGCTTAAAGTTGAGGACTTGCAACTCGACTTGGACTTGCCCGTCTTGACTCGGGACTTGACTTGGGACTTGACTCGAGACTTGAATGCAAAGACTCGAGACTTAAGGCCCAATCCCAATTCTATTTTATACACCTTCCCCTGAAAATATTACCCTAAGAATTGGGACACCACTACTATACGTCACACATCATTATACGTCGTCTAGCTCCTACAATACACACACCTATACTGGTGTACATTAGAGTATTTAATTACCGTTCTATATTAATGTGCTGCTTATTGACACACACACATCAGATATCGCGCAGCTCACACATCCATGAGCAAAGAAACTTGTCAACGCTGCCCCGCAAATTTTATTAATAACAGTTTAAATACTGAATCGCAAAATTATATTTTCCACTAACGAGAGGATAAAATCGCTGTTTTTGAAGTAAACTTACTCTAAAAAGACTGTGCACTCTGCACAGACACGCATACACGCAACTTTCATCTCTCTCTCTCTCGAATTGGGAATATTTGAGTAAAGGGTTTAGCGATTTATAATTATTGGGGTACTAGCCCTCCTCAATGTCTATGGTGGTTATCGCCCCGATCAGACATAAAAATGTTGTGGCACTATCGCCCTCCTCAATGTCTATGGTGGTTATCGCCCCGATCAGACATAAAAATGTTGTGGCACTATCGTGCAGTCTGTCATTACATACTATATACAATACCATTATATGACGTTAGCAAACTTTAGTGATTTTTTGCAAACATTTCTTTGAGTAACATGACTAGGGGTGCTCCGATTGATCGGCTACCGATCATCATTTGCCAATAATCACGTTGGGATGATTGATCGGCGGTCTCTAAAAAGGCCAATCTCAAAAAAACGATCTCAAGCTGATGACGCTGCCATGAGAGGTTTGGCATGACATGCAGCGGCACCGTCTCAGTCTCTGTCCGGCGCGGGTGAAATCATAATGCTGAAGATGAGGTACTCACCTTCATATTTCTTCATTAGATAACTTATAAAGTAAATTGAAAACATTGTGTGAGACGTAATTTCACAAACAGCGAGAGTGAACGACCACGCATGCGCTTTCTCAAAATACACAAATGTCTTCAAATCACCAAATTGCGTCTGTCTATAAGCGAGCTGCACGCTGCACAGTTGACACAGGAATTGTCACTTGCACAATCGAGGCAGTGTCACATCGTCACTAAAGTTTATAAAATTGCATTACTTTTTAATTCTTGCCCGTGTTTAACCATTCAGCGCTCACGCGCTCTCCTGGAGACCGTGGGCTCATGCACACTCGCACTCGCAGTGCACATACATAATGCCAGGTTCACATTACTCCATTTGCAGTGCGTATGTGGTGCGTATTATTTCCTCACTCATGTCAACGGATTAATAAAGCGCGCACACTGCACACTGTTGCTGTCCAGCAGTGCGTTCCACAAGCGGTGCGTCTGCAGCAGTACAGAGATGGTTTCCGTACAGAGTCTATTTTTGCTGCGCTGCAAGCAATTTTTGCAGTAAACATGAACATGGATTGACACGAAAATTTAGTAATTACACCATAAATGCACATAATTAAAGTCTACGGTGTTTCACAGTCAACACATATCTGTCAATGGTAAGTTTGTGATAACGTAAGAAAAGTAGTTTAAATGTTTTGCCACTTGCTTGAGCAACTTAAAATATAAATCTAAAGTAAATGCAAAAGTAAAAAGCAATGAATAATGTGTTGCTTATGTTTATTGTTTAAACATGTCTTTGAAAGATTGTATTACTGTACTGTGTAAAAAAATATAAAAATTTCAATGCTGAAAAAGCAATTTCAGTGACAATGTTTGGATTTGAAATCAAAATAATGGATAAATGTTGTGTTTGTGGTAAACAGCCACGGATCAGTAGTGGACTCCTGTGTGAAAGCTGCTTCTCCTCTCACAAGAGACACCTAAGAAGGGAATTCCCCCCATTTTCAAAAATGAAATTCAGGCCCTGAATAAATGTCTAAGAATCTTGATTGGAGTATCACTATAAATAGTTATAAATTGTAAAAAAGAAGGCTTTAAAAAGCTTTCTGTGATCGGCGATCGGTCTCAAAAATACTGATTGGAGCACCCCTAGAAGCCGGTTTACGCTGAGATAATTCATACCCCTTCGTTTGAAGTGTGGTCCCGGAAAATCTTCGTTTGAAGGGCTATCTGGCCCTTCCTCTTACCCCTACCCCTCCAACCAAAGGAGAATCGAGACACCCCTAACCACTTCACGTGAACACGCGAAACGGAGGGGTAGGGAAAAGGGGAAGGGTTAAGGGGTAGAATTGGGATTGGGCATTACTTGTAACTTGCAAAACAGTGACTTGGTCCCACCTCTGTTAATATATAAGAACATTTTAAAGAAAAATACAATCAATACTGTGAACTGAATTTGGGAAATTAGGGAAAAAAATAAGTTGAACTATGCTGGCTTGTGGCCTCTAGAAGGATATATTAAGGGTCAAAAATGCAATTCATGGTAGGTCTGTCATAGAGGTTTACACGTTATTGTTAAATATCAGTTTGGAGAAAAACTTGTGTGTCCTTATAAGGTAACACTTAATGTTGTATGTAGGCTGCAAAGTAACTTAGATTTTTGTATAAGTCTTGCACAATTACAAGGCAAGTACTGTATGTGCAAATTAAAACATTTTCATTACTTTTGTGAGGGCTAATATTGTTGAAGCACATTGCATTACACACAGCTGACCTTCTCTATATAAATGTTGCAACACAGACTGCACCATGCAGGGATCTACAAAGTGATGCATCAGACAACCATGACAAGCAGTGCCACTTAAAAATTAATTCAAATGAAAGTGTCAATTATCAATAACAGAAATTTTCATTATATTAATTCAAAAATAAGTTAAAAACTTTTCAAATTGACAAATAGATTTAAAACAAATTAATGTACTTGTTTAAAAATGTAGCTAAATGTAACAATAATAATATACATTGATAAATAATTTTAATTGCTTTCCTTAATCTATTTATAAAAATGCTTTTTAATATTTCTGCAATAAACAATAATATTTTTTCAAAAATACATTTACATAATATTTAAACATTAATTAAATTATTTTAAAAATCTAATTTATTTGTTTTATTGTTTCAAATAACCATTCATTTGTCAATTTGAAAAGTTTATTTTTAACCACACATTCTCATGAATCCACTTCAGTCAAGTTTGTGTGCCAAGAGCCAAATCAGAATAAAATGCTTCTTGCTTCTTCAAAGACCTCAAACAACACACCAATGGATACCTTCCAACATGCCAGTGTAAGAGAAAAGCTACATCGTTTTGCAGCTTTCTCAGTGCAAGCAAACACAATCGACAAACACAAAGCATAGGTACACGACACGTGGCCATGATAGCCACAAAAATGTCTTTACATGTAAGCTTGGAATGGCCTGCTTGGATACGGTCTCCTTCTTTTGTGATATTTTTTCTTAAGGTTTTTTCCTTAGCAGCCACAGTAGCATTTTCTGAAGGGAAGAAAGTTATATGAATACCAATAAATAAAAAGGCATATATGCACACGCATAGAAAGATAATTATAAAACGGATAGTTCCGGTCCTTGATTCTGATTGGTTGAGCCAAGTTCGACGCTGTTGTAAATTACGTAAGGGATAATCAACGGCTAGCCGTGCATTAAAGGATTTTAAGTGCACAACGTGGAGGCAAAGAACCGCCCGACGCGAAGCGCGTTGCCTCCGCAAAGTGCATTTAAAATCCTTTAACACACGGCTAGCTGTTGATTATCCCGCTTATTCCATTGTCATTTGCCAAGTTATAGACAAGTTAAAACTAGCATTGCTCTTTGCAGCACAATATTTGACCGAATGGGTAAAAATTACAGTTATTTTTGTCAGTTACGGCACGTTAGCACTAGCATTCTGCCCGCTTCAAAACATACACAGAGATGAAAGTGCGGTAAGACCACATTTATTTGAATGAATTATAGCATGTATTTCAATTAATTATCGATTGATCGTTTGAGAGAGAGAGGGAGAGAGAGACAGACAGCCAGACAGCGAGAGAGAGAGATGACAGTTGTGTGTACCTGCGTGCTGCATCTGCACGTCTCTCTGTACAAACAATTACTTCAAAAACAATTTTACCACCTGGTTGCTGGGGAATATAATGTAGCGATCTAGTATCTAGGCTATTTTATTAATGAAAATCACGGGGAAGTGTTGACAACAAGTTCGTGTTTGTGTGCGGTGCAATCAGCAATCTCTGACCTCTCTCTCGCTCTCTCGCTCTCTCTCTCTCTCTCTCTCTCTCTCTCTCTCTCTCTCTCTCTCTCTCTCTCTCTCTCTCTCTCTCTCTCTCTCTCTCTCTCTCTCTCTCTCTCTCTCTCTCTCTCTCTCTCTCTCTCTCTCTCTCTCTCTCTCTCTCTCTCTCTCTCTCTCTCTCTCTCTCTCTCTGTGTGTGTGCGCGATTGATGTGTGTTGGTTAGTGTGCATCAATTAAAGCAGCGCATTAATATACAATGGTGATTAAACTGACTTGGAACTACCTGTGCATTAAACGGTTTTACTGCATACCTGCCAGCCAATCAGAATCCAGTATTCAGACAGACCATGGAATACTCTACAAACATATACCTTTGTTTACATTTGTGTGTTGCTCGGCAACCACTTTGTTGGAACCACAACCGTTTCTGAGGAACGACATTGTTTGGCGGAAGAATAATGTTTTTATTAAAGGGTTAGTTCACCCCAAAATGAAAATTCTGTCATTAATTACTCGTGTTGTCCCAAACCCATAAGGCCTTCGTTCATCTTCGGAACACAAATTAAGATATTTTTGATGAAATGTGAGAGCTCTGAGACCCTGCATAGACAGCAATGCAACTGTAATGTTCCCAGGTCCAGAAACTTAGTAAGGACATTGGTAAAACAGTCCATGTGACATCAATGGCTCAACTA